TTCACGGCGTTATGGTTTAATTTGCTGCAACTGTCTGTCAATGTTAAATATTGTAGTCAGTTGTTGACTCAAGCACACCCTTATTTTCTTGCAGGCGAGTGTATAGGAGAGAGAATTTCAGCACAGTGTCCTTAAACTTTATTAAAGATAAGCATTCAATCCTCAGACTTTCATCAGGTAAAGCACTGGTACAAACAGCATTCCAGACACACATAGCCAACACGTCCTCAGGTGAGGCCAATCAGGGACCATGCGCTGTCAGGTGATCAATCCCACAGGCTGTATGCATTGAGCCAATTAGGGACGTCTCACCATCATTCACTATCTGTAATGGACAGCAACTACATCAATTTATATACAAACATTGATTATTATAAAAACTATTTAAATCAAGTAATTTCTATCTTACTCTCACTGACTTACTGTCCATAGGTTTATCCACTGATGAATTGTCTTCTATTGCCCAGGTACTGACACCCTGTTTGGAGGATCTTAGCGCATTGCCCTCATCATCCACATGTTTATGTATACATGAATTTAGTATGTATGTACATTTATTTAGATTCTATGACATTTTCAATGTTTTTACTTAGAATTATATGATTTATTGTGGCTCCTATTTTTACATTATGAATAGGCAGTAGGTTGGCACAGAAATACATGGACTGTAACAATATACCAAAACCAATATTTAGAATTTGTTGTTTTATGAATTTCCATGCATGCTTGCTTTGATTCTTCTTCATTCCACTGGTCTCCTCCTCTACTTCTGGAATTCATTTTTGTTTAATGAATGAATTTGTTGTTGTGTTTTTGATTAAAACTTTTTTACTTTCTTCAGATTTCTTTTCTGCAGTGCAGAATGTATTTCTTACTGTTAACTTTTACAGAGTGGCAATAAAAAGCATTCTGCCTGGAAATATAACAAACTGGCATCATGGGATGTGCACGGCATTAAAGGAGGACTGCAGCAGGTGATAAAAACCAGCTATCAATGCTATTCGATTACTATTCGATGACATACCAGACAGCTTCTTCCCTCAGTGAAGTTTCTGAATTCTTCCACAACAATTCATTCAGTTTAGATTTTGAATTACTTTTATTTTACTTTTTATGACTCACTGATTAATGCTTTATTTCTTTTTGGGGGTAGCACAAAGACAACTATCTCTAAATTTAATTCTATAACCTTGAATGAGAATCACAATAAAATATCCTTGAATGTTTACAAGAGTCATTAGAATTCATGCTCAGTTACACATCTACATCTAGGCTGAAAATAATTATTGGTGTTGGTGAGGCTGTCTGGGACATGTTGGGTTGTCCGGACAGAGCCTCAGGACCAGCTGGCTGAGGGGACTCTTCTCTGGCTTCAGTTCTTGGCAGGTTAAGGTTATGTCTGGGGGTCACTTGATTTTAGGTGACTGCAAAATTGAATTGCTCTTTTCTATGTTTAGTATGAAGGGCTATTTGAGTCCTGCTTTCCAGGCATTGTTTGGTGTCTTCCGTTGGACATGCAGGATGTTTTTAAAGAACTCTAGGTGGAAAGATTCTATTATTGTTTTGTCCCATTTGTCAAATTCATGATTTAATTCAGGTCCCCAAATGTAGAATTATCGGTTCTAATACAAATTGGAATTTTTACCAGATTTGAAAAAGGATGTCATAAAGACTGCATAGAGACCACAGAGCTGCTGTCAAAAAGAGATGTACTGAGGGCTGATATACTGAAATATGTATACAAATATAAAAAACCTCAGTAAACTGACAAGCCATGATGATGATGATGATGAGGATGATGATGAGGATGATGATGAAGTGAACAGATTAAGGAATTTTGAATCTTTCATGGAACAAGTGTTTTTTCCCCCTGTGGAGACTGATCTGTACATGACTTGTACAACTGATCTGGACAACTCAAGAATATTGTTCCTGCCCCAGAGGAAATTCTGTTCATACAAGTGGTTCTTGCATGAGTTCATCATCCAGTTGGCCTGAAAAAATAAGATTTTTATAAGACTCTCTGTGTTAGATTTCCTGAGTGTACGTGTGTTGATATGTAATGCAATACCCAATGTGACCAGCAGAGGGAAGCATCGGGTTTCATATCTATCGAGGATGATAGTAGTTTCAGGAATTGTACAAGAAAAGCTACAGGCTGTATGACATGTATGATGTTCATTCTTACATTAAAGTTTGAGCATAAGCTCGCTGCAGATTAAACCATGTCTCATCTCATGAAGACACAAATAACACAGAAGGTGGTCTATTGCTGGGCCAGTGAAGCTGCACCACTCAGTCACTCTAACCTGTGCGAAAAACAAAACAGACAAAACTCATCAAGTTTTTTTGTCTGGGCCTGTTTCTTTTATAGTGTTCGCCTGCTTCAGAACCTTCTTCACATATTGTTTTGGGATGTGACCACTGGAGGGAGAACTCAGTCCAGCGAGTTGAGCTGCTCACATTGGCTGCACAGTTTCAACTCGTCTGGTCACACACAATCTCGTATTTCAGATAAACATTACACTAAAATATGTTTCTGAAAAGATTTTAGGCAAGAAATAGGCGACGCAATAACAGAATCTTACATTCATATTTGATCAGCACTGCTTTGTTTGCTTTGTGCGTTGAGCTGGACGAACTCACTGAGATGGGCTATCAATCACAAAAAGCATACACTGCTTTATTGTAATTGTAAATTGTAAACTTCTCATAAGCACTGCATTTTCTCTTACCTCCTATGGTTTCAGCCTAATTTGTGTTTATCCATATCAGGTCACAAAGTTTCTATGTGGTAGTTCAGTTTATACTTTTTCACCAGTTGATAGTCATTACGTCCTCAGTTGTGGGGTCCAGGGGAAAAGAGGAGTAATAATAAATCATTTACACAGGCGTTTAAAGAAGGGCAGAAAACATAAAATCTTTTACTTCTAAACGATTTATTTCAACGTAAATGAAGTCAATGTTAACACAGAAGAACTTCCTAAAAAGAAAGAAAGCAAAAACCATCTAAACTAAACAAACCACTGTGACAACAAATAAATATGAATAACACTATCCCTCCACTGAGGGAGAAATTGTAACACACACACAAGACTAGCACCACTCAGCTCTGCTTTAACACTGACAGCGACATGACTCTATCTGATGGTTTTTGGCCCACCGGCCCCGTCTGCTTCCGTCACAGCTGCTTATATAGCAATCGCCCTGCTTGCTAAACCACTGCAGGTGTGCGTGACCAGTCGGAGGGGACGAGCGGTACCTGGAACAGGACAGCAGAGGCACAAACATACACACGTCACAATAGTATATTTGTAAAATAATTACAATAGAGAATGAACTGAAATCACTCACGTGTTCTGTAGAAATGCACACACAATGCAACGATGACGATGACGAAGACCGGAAATACAAATATCCCAATAAGCAAGTAATGATGCCTCTGCTGGTCCTCGACTGTAAATAGTGGAAATCACAGAGTAATAAATTATTTGACATGCTCATTCACCCACAATTCCAACAGCAAATATTATTGTTTACACCATACTTACATACAATTAAAATAGGTCAGATAGCTAGTGTAAGGTTAAATAAGCCACAAATCTCAAACTATTAATTCACGCTTTTATTTGTTCTTGTCTAGATTCATTGTAATTCCCTCCACATATGATTCAGTCAAGCTGCCAAATTCTTGTGCCAAAACATTTATTACCATGACAACAAAAGTTACCTGACTTCATTTTTTCCAGCGTGTCCAGGGAGAGTGTGTGTTTTCGGAACAACGGGCCTTTTGTGCAGTGGGCTTTTGTTTTCTGGATAATGGGATGACGCTCCAATGGGAGTTTTTTCTGATTGTTGGGGTTGTGGGCCACATTTTTACCATAAACCAAATGTGAACAGAACTCAAATTAATTTATTTTATAGGCTAAAAGTAAGAGTATTGTAATTTATAATTGAGTAAGAGATACTGCATGACCATATACCAGACCCTGGAGGACTGCAGAGCTTCTATTAACTTACCTCTGTTTAAAACGTGGGTGGTGCTCACAGTCACATTAAGGGTAGGATTGTGGAAGAGGCAGGTCACAGATCGATATCGACCTTCAGGGATATCTACAGTGCTCTGCAATCTGTATTGATGATCTTGATTGTCCTGCACTGTCGTAGTGTGAACATCCCTCGGATCGGGAACGTGTTGGGAGTTGTTGGAGAGGTACTGGAGTCTCCACTTCACCAAAGGCTCAGGGAATCCTTGTGTAGTGCAGACGGCAGTCATCGTTTCTTCATTTAGAGCCAGGCTGACGTTCGTGTAAGGAACTGCAGGTAAGAGAGGAAAACTAAGGTCAATGATAAAAATAGTTTAGAACGATTGATAGCAACATGAAGCTACAGTCTGCAGCTTAGCAGACTGAAACCAGGGGGAGAATCGAGCTTGGCTCTGTCTAAAGGTGACTGCCGACCAAAGCCTCTAAAGTTTACAAATTAACATTTTAAATATAGGGCAGCACATAATTCCTGTAAAACCAGAACATTTGAACATTTGTACAAGTTAAACAAATGATATAACTAACAACAGAGGGGATGGTAGGTAGATACCTTTGGACCGAGCCACACCAGCTGTTCTCCTGGTTCCTTCTTCATGCTAAGCTAACCGGCTGCTGGCTCTAGCGTCATATTTAACAAAGAGAAATGAAAGTAGTTTTGATCTTCTCTCCGTCCTTACCTGCAACATGTAAAGTGTGTTTGCAGAGTTGTCTGTGTTCTGGGCTGTATCTCCTCGACCCTCTGCTGTCAAACACTGCAGCAACAACCTGGAAATCTCTTCGGTCATCTTCGAGGGTTGGGTTTTTTATTTTGACTGAAATATTTCCTGTTGTCATTTCCTGAGGGAAGGCTGTGATCCTGTCTCGATAAAGTTCATCTACGTGGTCTGGCATCTCCTTTCCTTTATTGTAAGAGAATAAAACACGGTTGCTATCGTCTTGCCAGTAAAAGCGTAGGTCCTTTAAGTCGACTGGAGCTGTGGTCGTCAGGGTACAGGGGAGCAGGGTTGATTCACCGGCAGCAGTGTTGACATCGAGCCCCACTGTTACATCCGACACTGTCACAGAAAGCAAAAGCATTCTCATTTCCTGTGTCTTGCCATAGATAACAATATACGACAGTGTATTTGCGCCAAACTTACCAATTAGGAGAATGTGTACCACAGACACAAAAGACATTCTTGAGAGAACAAGCACACTTGAAGAACTCAGCGGTAAGACTTTCGGTAAAGCATGTGGTTGGGCTGGATGTTGATGTAAAGCAAAAGCATCATAACTATAATTTCACTCTGACACAGACAGCAAGGTGATAAATAATTTACATTTCTCGGAAAAATAGCAATAACACCTATTTAGAAATTCCCCCACTGTCAGACCAGACCAGTGCAAACAGTCAGATCATTGAATCTCAGAAATACTTCCACTATGACTGAGGGTCCGTTTCAGTTCACATCAGGCGTGGGCAACAGCAATCTCATATATGACTATCACTGACGGCTATGAAGCCAGTTTGATTTGAGAGGAACAGGCACAAAGGCATGATAAGGACATTTGGATTTTCTACTATGGATTTTCGACTGTGTTTTTGACTGGAATAACATTTTGTGATGAAAATGGTAAGAATAATAGAATAACAGTGTTAGTTTGCCAGGGCTCAGGCACATGCAATGTGTAATGTAATCATCTAAAAAGAACTGCCAGTAAGAGAGTGAAGTTAGGGTCACTGACAAAACCTCACTTTGAAAAAATGTACTTTGGGAATATTGATCACACTTTCATGTCTGCCTTCTAAATATGAAGTTACAGCCAGCAGCTGGTTAGCTTAGCTTAGGCTGAAACCGGGGGGAGAAATGTAGCTTAGATCTGTCCAAAGGTAACAATATCAGCCAACTAAATGCTTTAGTTCCAAACACAGGAACACTCAGCTATGTGTAGCACAAAAACAAGACCAACATAAGAACAACAAGAAAAAGCTAACTTTAAAAAAAGAAAATAAAATAAAGTGAAAGCAACCCCTTGATTCTTCTTATTTATTCCTCTCAAGCCCCAGGTTTATGTTGTTAAATTATTATGCACTTGTAGTGTATCTTTATGGAATTTATCTTTATGTATGGTTACATAATGTCACTGTTCAAAATGTTGAATAAAACATGAAAGCTGCTGATAATCTTTTTGGTCTGACTGTTCTGGATGTGTTACTCTGTTTTGCATTAAAGGACTAAAAGTGATTTTACTTTCTTTGTCAGTTTCTAAGACAAACCCCTAAAACTACACTGTTGACATATTTTAAATACCTTCTTTATTTAGATAAAAATATATATTAAATCACTAAAACAGTACAGTAAATAAAATCAGAAGCAAATTGCAGAAAATTCAGTCAAAAGGGTCTAATGCCAACTAACAGCATGATTTTCCTATGGTGTTCCTCAAGGTCTTGGAGTCTAAGGGTGGTATTTTGGAGGGATTTTAACTATTTGTTAAAGAAGGGTCAAAGACAGCTACACTGTGCACCAAATCTGTGTGCAAAAAATGGTAATAAACCCAAAAACTGCTGCAGAAACTCAGGAGAGTCTGGCAATGGCCATTATATACTTTCATTGTAATGTTATAAGCCTTAGACACTGTTATCTTTCACATTTATAACAGATGTGTGATTATAAAAACACACACAGTGCCGAGCTGCTGTCTCCCCCTAAAGATAGGGAGGGGTACAGTGGAAGATGTTTAAGCATTTCAAGTGGTTTCATTTTTTTATTTTGAAGGCAGATAACTGTTTGTATTTGCTGATTTTTGGTGCCACTATTCTCAAAAGAAAAAAAAGGATTTAATTGTATTTTGTCCTCTGACATAAAATATCATATGATGATGAAATTCTTCGGGTAGTGTTCGCTGTTCCTTCTCCCCAGGCAGATTTCATTCAAGGTTTTGCGGACTGAACCTCCTGAGATGGGTGAGTCAAATTACTTTGACAAGTTTTAATATAAGGCATTTATAATATAAAAATAAAAATATATTTTGGGTTAACCTTAATGTACAGAAAGAATATAATAACTGTTTAACAGCCAAACACATGTCCAAGCTGGGACTTTGTCGACTCTGATAAACTGCTGGATATTTAACTCGCTATTGGTGTGTCAAACGTGTAAAACAGAAGTGAACCCTCTGGAAACTGTTCTGGCTTCTTTATTAACAGTTTAATTAACAACGAGGAGTTCTATAGAATAAATTAAGGGAAAATCAAATTTGGAAATGCTCTAACTGAAAGGTGACTTGCAATGCAATGGTTATGATGATAGCAATACAGCCACATTGGAATCAATTTATATTCAATATTGACAGCAACTACATAAAATCTTCCTTTCAATACAAACTGATCATCACAGTAACTTTTTATACTTTACATTCGTTCAGCCTGCTCAACAGTTACATCTGGTGACTTTAATCAGATAATACAGTTGTAATACCGCCCTAAAAATATTAAAATGGAAAGTAACTTGTACTTTAAGTAAGTTATTAACCAGGAACCAGGTTATGTCAAATGACCATTGGTCATTTTAATTCATTTTATATGGGAGTAAAGATTTTCAGTACTCTTCCAACTGCTGCTGCTGACTTTGATTTGTCTTTGTCACTTTCTGATCATCTCCATTTTCAGTTTTTAACAGTGTTACTTCTGTCTCTGTATCGGCACTAGCAGCAGCAGTGCGGTCCTCATTGGTTTCGCATCACATTTAGCTCCTAGAATTAAAAAGAAATGTTTCAGTCATGATGAAAAAAAAACCGCAGTGTAGAGCTCCAGGTATTGCTGGCAATGTATTTCTTTCATTTTTATTTTGTTGTGTGTAACTAACACTTTTTAATTTCTTTGAATCCAGAAAAACAAAAGCTGATAGCAGTATTTATATAAAAAAAAACAATTACAATAGAGCATGAACTAAGGTCACTCATATAATGTCACAGCAATGATGATGATGACACTTACATTTATTCCAATAACGAAATGATTGTGGAAAAGCAGGCCCTCACCTGTGATTAATTTGGCTCCCCCCGATTTCCTTGGTTTTGTTGATTTTGTTGATGGTAACAGCACCCACAATAAAACAAGCAAACGCCATCTCATCAATTTGCAGAGAGCAAACACCAGAGGACGGATTAGAAAGAGATAAAAACTCCAAATATTATTAGTATTATTTTGCAAGTGATATACTAGATGGAAATGGATGACCAGATAGAAAAATAAATAAATTCAGTTCAATTATATCTCCATTATAAACAGGTTTCTTCATGTTCTGCATCAGCACCACCAGAAGCTGCATCCTCATCTTTCAGCACCACCATTCCTCGTCCTCAGTGGAATATTCTTCTCAGGCTGATTTCGTACACGTTGGGCTGAGCATCAGAAACATTTCCTTGGTTTTATGGGTTTTGTGGACTCCAGTTACGCCTTTTATCTGGAATCAAAGATATTTTTTTCATGTCATGATGATACAAACAACCCCAGCAGTGTAGTGCTAGTCCATAAACAATGTCTAAAAGTTCAGATACTGCACTCTGACTCTTTAAAGAATTGGGATGTTCAGAGAAACTGCAGTGTTTCCTTTTATTTACAGCTTATAGGAATTTGTCTGACAATGTAATAATCAATAATAATTTGCAATTTAGTGTGTGATTTAAGGAGTTTAACCTCCAAATCAAATCAAATTAATTCATGAAATTCTGCTAAAAAAAAGATGTTAACAGGAGATTAACAACAGCCAAATTGTGTTTATCCATTTCAGGTCACAAGGTTTCTGTTTGCTATTTGAGTGCATTCCTTTTCACCAGTTGATGATGTATTTATATTTAAAATAAGAATTACAATATAGAATGAACTAAGATCACTCACGTTTTCTGTAGAGGTACAATATGAGAAGTATGATGATGATGATGATGATGATGATGGAAAGAGGTAGGCCAACAGCTAATCCAACAGCCAAAGAAATGTCTCTCTTTGGTTCCTCATCTGTAAATTATGTGAAATAACAGAGTAAGAACGTATTTAACATGCTGCACTGATATTTGATCACATTTTAAACACATTAATGTACTGTGTGTTTGGTATGTAGTGCCACAAGAATACTGAATTCTTTCAGCTCCACAAATCTTCAGTCACTGATTTATTAGATAAATCAATCAACTGGAACACAATACAATTCTTTTAAAGCAAGTTTGTCATAAATTATTAATAATCAATTGTGTTTAATGCAATTTATATTGTTTCAATTAAATATAATAACCACATTGTGCTTTGAGGCATCATTAACTTATATCAATGATCTGCTGCTCTCACCAGAAGCATTGATCTCTGCAGTTCCTTTAATCGTCTGGTTGGTGCGAGGGTTGAAGATGATGCAGGTTACAGACTGGAACTCCTTCATACTGACAGAGCTTGTGACTGAGAAGGTTTTCTCTGTTGGATCCTGCTGCAGGGACGTCTCAGCATCCTGCAGGTCCAGCTGTGCAGTGCTGGATTTCTTTCGACCCATCCATGACACTTTAGGTTCAGGGTATCCTCCATGTGCTGTGCAGGTTGCTCTGTTAGCTGTGTCAGTCAGGACTAGATGTTGGTAGGGAGCTGTGAGAGTGACAGAAAGAACAACTGTTGACACACTGGAGACATTCACAGCACTTTGATATGAGGAGATTTTTATTTTGGTTTGGAATAAAGAAGCTACTGTACTCACCTGAAACCTGCAGTGTGGATTTACAGTGTTTTTTAGATTTGTGCTCGTCTATTAAACGTACATAGGCAAAGAATGTTTTGTTGTCATCTCCAACAGCCACATTGTCAACTCTAATGGAAATATTTCCAGATTCAAACTCAGTAGGTAAAACTTGGCATCTGTTTTTGTATTCCTCAGCTATTGGTCGTGTTTGCCCATTGGTGTCCCAGTGAAACAAAATCTTGTTGGACTGGTCCTCCTGCCAGTAAAACCATCTGAGACTGAATGGGTGAATTGGTAGAGAGCAGGGGATCAGGACGGAGCCTCCAACAGTGGCACTGAGGAACTGCCCTGAGATCTGACCAACTATGGTTGCTAGAAAAGAAAACAATGAAATATTTGTCAGGAGGAGCAGAAACTGTGCTATCTGAAATGGGCAGAGGCAGTGAGTGAAACAATTACATGGCTTTAAACCAGAATGGGTAACTTTAAGGAACATGTCCATAAGACTGCTGAACACTGTATAACCATTCCCCCTTCCCTCCCCCTCCTCACCCACACACCCACACTGCACCACTAGGATCTCTCCGTCATACTGCTGTGAAATATGCAACTACACTGTGAAATTATATTTATCTTAGTTATCTTATTTGTGTTATATACAAATGTTTATTTTACATAGGCAACTACACTGTGCAATATATATTATTTTACAGGTTTTTTTATACAAAAGTTTTTACTCTCTCTTTTACATTTGCATATCTATTTTTAGACTGTACATACTGCCTCCCCTTTATTCCTGCTGTGCTATGTGCCATTGCAACGTAATTTCATTTTGATGCAAATCCAAATAACAAATAAAGTCTGTCTAAGTCTAAGTCATATACTGCACATGTTGTGTGTACAGTGCTGAGACAAACCTGCAACCTCTGTGTCTGTGTATATATAACAGTCAGAGGGGCCACAGGATAAGTAAATAGTCCTGACTGAGGGTATTGTTTTCTGTTAATTATTATGAGCTAAGCACTTCAGTTTTCTAGTTATTTCCTGTCTGAAGGTCGCTATTTCTGTGAGTCTGGCCACCGGTGTGGGAGCAAGACATGCATAGTTGATCTATGCACTCTGATGTCAATCGAATACAGGCAAAAAGTTGACCCCATCACACACTTGGACAGCCCCCTTGTTTCCACAATGAAACAGAAATGCATTTTGGGGAAAAAAATTGGAGAGAAATGCAAAGGGAAAATAATACAGCAATATAAAAGGTAAATAAATACAAGCAGAAATATCAATTTAATTCACATTATATAAATTAATTAATACCTACATATACTTTTAATATTTTGGTAAATTTAATGGTATATTGATTACAGCTGTTGTGTTGAACATGAAATTGACGCCTGCGTCCTTTAAGGTTTGTCCACTCCTGCCCTCCAAGACTTAAGAAGTAAAGCCAATGTGCCAATGCAACAACATATCTGAGTGCAAACAGAAGCAGAGCCTATAGATAGAAATAGTCCAGCACATAAACCGCTGTGTGTCATTACAACACTTTGCTGTATAAGATAAAATTAAATGAATCAACTCTTTAATTAGTGAAATTCAGAGGTGTGTTTTTGGGGCAGAGGCACGCCAGCTGTTTCTCCTTCTCCAGTCTTTATGCTAAGCTAACTGGTTGATATGCGATGCCAATGCTGGCTGTAGCTGGCTGCAGTGCTTATCTCTCAAATCTCTCAAAATAAACTGCAACATGTAACAACATGTAAAGTAGGTTGGCAGATCTACAGAAGACTTTCATAAAAATCCAGAAAACTTACCTAACTGGAGAGAGTATGCCACATACAGAGTAAACATTCCTGAGACAACGACTTCCCTCGCTACATCCAGAAAAATGATTTCCTTTGCTCACCCATGATTTAAAAACTTGATGTTAATGCCTTCCTATGCTGACATAGACGACATGCTGACATTTATATCTCTAAGAACGCGAGCAGCCAGGCTGGATATCCCCCCACTGTCGAAGGAACACTACAAATGGTCAGCTCACAGCAGAAGTTACATAAAGACGTATTTCCTCTTGAACAGGAACAATGGACAGGATTAGAAGAGGCAGAAATGGTAATGACTCCACTCACAGTCGCCAAAAGACTACCAAGGAAATGTTTCAGTTAAGATAAAATATATATTTAGAGAGAACATTCCTTCCCAGTAATTTTCTTTCTTTCTTTCTCCAGTTGCTGTCCTGTTGTCTCAGAGCTGTCCAGTGTGTCTGCTCTGCCTTCATTATCAGCACATGAATCTGCTCTGTGTAGTCCCTATGGGGCTTTGCTCAATGATCTGACTACAAGTTTGCCTCCCTGCAGCACCTTGGATCTGACTCTTGATTTACTGCTCAATCTTAGTTTGGCTTCAATACCTCTTGTAGTGCATTCTGGATTCATCCTTTCTTGCTGTTGTTTAAGAGTGATTGATGAAGTGGTGTCAGGAAAATAGTCTCTCCCTAAATGTTTGTAGGTGATGATCGTATCCTGAAGGTGTGCAGTGCGCCTGTCACAACAGTACTCCACTACCATACCCATCCCTCACTAAGAGTTGACTACCACTAGATGACCCGTCTCCACCCGAGACTCCAGCAAGGAGACATGGACTGCAACCTGGAGTAACTCATGGTTGTCAACTGGGGTATTGTTAAGTAACTAGACTAAAGGGGTAAAGGCACTTTCAGGTGCAAGTGCTCCAGTATGGTCTCTTTGTTAGTGAGTGGGGTATCCAGGGAGCGTCACCCGAAGGCCATATCATTTGCTATAGCTACTGGCCCAGACTGCAGGTTGTCATCCTCTGCCGGGTCTTTGGAACCATCGTGTTTATGCCCCACGCAAAACTTTCTTCACATTAATAAGTCTGCTTAAAGTAATAACACAGCAAGGCTAAGAGGCATGAAAGCCCTAGAGACTTTGCTGCTACTACTGAGAGATTAAAATGTTCTAGCTCACCATCTATTATGAGTTCTTACCTCAACCCTTTACCAGTCTCCACCCTACATACCACCAGCTTGAGGCCCCATCTTCCCAGACTCCTCTTTTTGTGGGAGATGCACAGACAGGACAGGATGGCAGTCAGCAGTGTTGGTGCTGTGCTGTTGTGTTGTCGTCCTCCACTCCATGCCTGTCACATTTAAATTATTTTATTTTATGTATTTACTGACATGTAATACACTTTATGGGCCTCACTGTATTGCTACTAACCTGTATTGATAAATTGCATAACTTAATGATACGCAAACACAACTGTCAGACAATAAATTGAATTTCTTTGTGATTACGTAAAGATGGAGAGCACTGATTAGAAAGCTGGACATGCAGGAACAAGGTGTGCTGATGGAGCTGTGAAGAGAGAAGAATAAAGAAGACATTAGATCAACTGTAGGTTCGAAACAAGTTGCAGCTCTTTCAGTTTTTGAGTATGGAAAGATGATTTCACGTGTCACCCTCATGTGTTTGCTCTCTGTAATTACGGCTAGCTAGACTTCCTAAGCCAATCAGTAGATGCAATTAAATGGGAAATAAACTTTAAAGCAGTTATTAAGGGAGTTGTGCAGGGAGAGTTTTACTCATACAGGTGTGAAAATGTTGAGCTGAAGAGAAATGAAGGGCTCTAAATGCAATTTAGAGAAAATGTTAAAAATCTCTCTACACATACTTTACATATATTTACTGAAAAACACAGACACATGCATGTAGAATTAGACAAGATACCCACTGATAATTAGCATTAAAATTCACCAAAATCACCCTAAAATCAGCCCCCTAGACACCCTCCAATCCAAAGCTGTCAAAACCCTGGAGCTGAGCCCAGAGGAGTCCCCTACGTCAGTGCTGCCCCCTGTCAGACACACTCAGTATTACAACACTGCTTTCCAGACACCAATCAGAGTAAACCAAATTATAAAGTAATATAGAAGAAACGTTTATGGAACAGTGGAAAGAAGAAACGTAGATTAGAACGTTGTCTCACCCTAAAAACAATCTGTATATACATACACCAATGAGCCACATGATTATAATAATAATCGCAACAAACTGTGATACAATGTGAATTCTGACCCCTTTCTATCAGAACCAGCATTAACTGTTTCAGCAGTTTGAGCTACAGTAGCTCGTCTGTTGAATCGGACCACATGGGCCAGCCTTCACTACCCACCTGGATCAATGAGCCTTGGCTGCCCAAGTGACTACACCTTTGTCTGTATCTCTAGTTATGAACATACACTACTCACAATAAGTTAGGGATATTGTGAGAGACTCAGTGGATGTCATACTTACGGTGTTTGTTTCACTTCAGAGATTTTTGGGATAGGGAGGCAATTTGTGTTTTCTACGTAATGATCTCACTGTGTACAGTGTGCCTTACATATTGGGGCCAATACCAAAAAACTAAAAAACAACCCTTTTCAATGTGGCATCAATTTCAACATTCTGTGGGAATAAAAAGCTGGTATTGTCAGTAAGTCATTCCAAGTTTCTCATTCAAACAGCCATGAACACACAACGTCACTTAACGGACGAGCAGTGCCACCTGGCCATAGCGCGCCTTCGGGTCGGTGGCAGGCAGTCAGATGTTGCTCGTGAACTTGGTATGTCTCAAAGTGTCATCAGCAGACTTGCATCAAGACATAGAACTACTGGCAGAGTTCATGACAGACCCAGGAGTGGAGCCCCACGAGTGACAGACCGCAACGATGACCAGTACCTAAGGACTATGCACTCAGACATCCTTATGCAACTGCCACATAGCTGCAGGCCCGTTTATGAGACGTGAGGGGTACTAGGGTTTCCAGACAAACCATTCGCAACCGACTCCAGCGCTTTGGCTTGAATGCCAGACGACTGTTGCAGGTGACTCCACTGACACCAAGACACCGCCGTGAACATTTGCAGTGGGCACCAAGACCATGTGACCTGGACTATGCAGCAGTGGTCTACCATCCTGTTCACTGATGGGTGTCGGGTCACCTTGCACAGAAATGATGGTCGTCAGCGTTGCTGAAGAAGGCGAGGTGAGCGATACGCCGAGGTCAACATGGTCCCCAGGGTCCGCTTTGGTGGTGAAAGACCCGCTACTGACATTGTCAATTTTTGTTATTTGGGGCTATCCTTGTTATTGTCTAAATTTTTGGGGTAATAAATATGAAACTAATGAAAATGGTGTTTCTTCTCATTCATTATTAGTAATATCAAAGGGAACTTTTTCTTATTTCATTAAAATTCAGACCAAATAGGAAAAGCACTCATGTAAATAACAATATCCCTAACTTATTGTGAGTAGTGTATTTTACATTCTCCCCTCTCCTCTCATACCAACTGCCTTTTTTCCACAGGACAACAGGAAATGCCTCAAATGTGCAATGTCAGATCTGTCAGTCAGGACAGGTGCTGTTTGACAGGTTAGGGATTAGAGAATTAGGGATGATTAACCACATTAATAAAGAAAACACACCTGTTAAATCATTGTATACTAACCCTGTTAGTTTATGTACTGTGATTGTTTGACTGCACTGGTCTGCTCTCATTTAGCAGGCGTGGCTCTATGGTCTAATGTCTGTCTGTCCACCAGACGGAAATATTTCAACAACTCCAGCATGGATTGAAATTGAGTCCAGATACTGTATCCATGAAGCCCAGAGGATGAATCAGAATGACGTTGGTGTTCCAGTTTCACCAGCAGCTCAACGTTTTCACTGATCCAGGGAAATCTCTCAACATCTACTGAATGGGTTAGTCAGTGCAGACATTCATGGTATCCTCATGACTTTGGTGATCCTCTGACCATCACCATGTCAAACATTCACCAAATACCTGCAGGGTTTGTTGTGCTCAAGTTTACAACCTCACAGAGCTGCTAGCATGGCTGTTAGACATGTAACCATGTATGTTAGTGAGAACAGTGTTATGTTACTAGTAGAAGTGATGGTGCTCAGTAAAATACATCAATCACAACAAAGTATGTTTTTCATACAAAAGCTTTTTATTACAAAAACTAATAAATGTAAGAAATGAAACACTCAATGATAACAGAATTCACAAAAAACACAAACTGAGGAAACATTGTAGGCAGGATTACCACGTAATAAAACATTAAAATGTGTAAATAAACAGACAAATAAATAAATAAAAATCTTGAGTAGGTCTTGAGTTTAAAAAAAGACTTATCTGATAGATTTTCTGTCAGTTAATGTTCATTATCAGTTATGTATCTGTGAGTTAGCAATACAACCAGTGAAATGTGTTATAATGTTACATTTTCTCTTAATTATACTGTTCAGATTGTTCATAAAAAATAAAATTGAAATTCAAGATACATGAAATGTTTGCAGTTACATATTAACAAGGACACTGTCAGACATTTATAGCAAAAACAAGAATACTATTTTAAAAAATTCAACTTTAACCCATTGTGGTTCTTTGGACCAAAGTAACTGTAAAACATCGTATTGATAAAGCACATGTAGTGGGTTGGAGATTTTTTTATGTAAACAGATATCCTTTTTTCTATTTTATGAACAACCCATCAACATGGATGCTCCACTCCACCACATCCTGACCACAACTACACCAACCATAGGCAGTCCAACGCATCCAGTGTACATGAACGGAAATGTTAACTAATAAAGGCCATGTGACCATAGTTACAGTGCTAATCAGACAGAATAACTGTCCTCTTTTAGGCAGCAATGTAATAGCAGAGATAATCAAAACAAAGAACAGATAAGACATGAGGCTGATAAGAAGCTTTAAGTGTCAGTGACAGTGAGGGGGAAGCTGTGGTCTCTGCCCTGCAAACTGAGATGAGACCAGTAGTGTGAGAATAGGGAAGAGAGATGTAACTATTCCTGCAGAGCAGATTTGTGAGGTTAAACGTAGATTCAAGGAATGGCCATGGGCGAGACAATGCTCTTTCAACCCAACCTAGTCAGTAACTGTTCTGAGGGGTTAGAGCTGTTTCCAGCTTTAGTAGGATGAACAAAAGAGAGACACAAAGTGAGAGACATGTATGAAGAGTCTGATGTGTTTGCTGAAGACCATTCTGACATTGGACTGGTGTTTCATCCTTTTTACAGCTTCAAATTTTGGAATGCAACCAAATGTCCGACAACTCACTTCCTAAGCCTTTGTACAAAGAGGTGAAGGAATATCTCCAAAACCTGCTCGACCACAGCTTGATCAGAAAGTCCAGCTCACCCTACTCGTCTCCTGTGGTCTGCATCAGGAAAAAAGACCAAAGTTTACGCCTGTGTGTGTTTACTTTCGCAGCTTAAACCGCCAAACCGTCGCTGACCTAAAAAACAACCCCGACACACAAAGTAATAACTGTAATCAATAAAACACTCAATGGTAACAGCACCCACAATGAAACAAAGAATCACTATCTCAGTGCAGGGAGGAAACAGCAGGGGCAGAATTAGAAAGATATAAAAAATTAAATAATAATAATGATTTAGCAAAAAGTAAAACATCAGCGGTTTTTTCCACATTCTGCATCATCACCACCAGAAGCTGCATCCTCATCAGTCGAGTTTTCAGCACCATTCCTCCTCCTTAGTGGACTATTTTCCTCAGATTGGTTTTGTCCTGACACGTTGAGCTGAGCATCAGGAACATTTCCTTCAGCTAGGTCTTCATTTGCATTTGGTGGGTTTTCTGGATTCCAGTTACCCCTTTTATCTGTAATTAAGGAGACATTATTCATGTCATGATGGTACAAACAACCCCAGCAGTGTAGTGTTAGTCTGTAAACAATGTCTAAAAGTTCAGATACTGCACTCTGACTCTTTAAAGAATTGGGATGTAACTGCAGTGTTTCTTTTTATTTACAGTCCATAGCTTATAGGAATCAATCAAAGGAAATCAATTACTGAAAGATCACTATCTTTATCAGGAATTTAGCTGTTTTTCCTCCATGGTGAATTAATGTATCTGAATAAAAGAAATGATAGTTAATCAAAAAGGGCATTTTTCATTTAAAGATTACAACTAGGGAGCAATCAATAACTAAACTTGACTTTAGGTTTAGCTAAGGTTAACTGCGGCTGTCTCACATGCTTGATGTAGCCCTCTTTAGCTGTCTTAGCTGTCTTTCTACAGAGAATAACCTACATAAAGTGTGGAGTCCTACAGCACACAGGTTACTGAGCCAGAATGCAGTAATACACAGCCAGTGCACTAACTGTGTTTTTGGTTTTTAGCTCTGTTTTCTCGTTACTGTTATGCTTTGCAATGATTTAATGTTTTAGTTTAACAGATATTCAGATGCAGGTTCTAACTCAGTTTAACCAAATATGTAGTTTCTGTGTTTGGCCTTTGTAGGACTGTTCTGTAAATCACTCCTTCAACGTATTATTAGTTACAACTGGAGGTAAACTGACACTATGGATTACAGTATCCTTCTGGAAATCTGCACATGCACAGTTTCATACTTTGTGGTTTCATAGTTGTGTTTATCCATTTCAGGTCACAAGGTTTCTGTTTGCTATTTGAGTGCATTCCTTTTCACCAGTTGATGATATATTTATATTTAAAATAAGAATTACAATATAGAATGAACCAAGATCACTCACATATTCTGTCCCAGTACACTATGAGAAATATGATGATGATGATGATGATGATGGAAAGAGATACGCCAACACCTAATCCAACAACCAAAGAAGTGTCGCTCTTCGGTTCCTCATCTGTAAATTTATGGGTATCCTCCATGTGCTGTGCAGGTTGCTCTGTTAGCTGTGTTGTTAACAGTCAGGACTAGATGTTGGTAGGGAGCTGTGAGAGTGACAGAAAGAACAACTGTTGACACACTGGAGACATTCACAGCACTTTGATATGAGGAGATTTTTATTTTGGTTTGGAATAAAGAACCTACTGTACTCACCTGAAACCTGCAGTGTGGATTTACAGAGTTTTTCAAACCGTTTGGGCACTTTGTTCTGCTCATCAAATACATTTACATTGGCCCAAAATGTTTTGTTGTCATCTCTAACAGTAACATTGTCCAGTCTAATGGAAATATTTCCAGAACTAAACTCAGTACGGAAGACTTGGCATCTGTCCCTGTATGCGTCCTGCCAGTAAAACCATCTGAGACTCAGTGAAGGAACTGGTAGAGAGCAGGGGATCAGGACGGAGCCTCCAGTGGTGGCACTGAGGATCTTTGATATCTCCCCCATTATGGGTGCTGGGGAAAAAAACAGTGAAATATTTGTCAGGAGGAGAAATGGTGCTATCTCAAATGGGCGAAGGCAGTGAAGGATACAACTATGTGGCTACAATTCAACTGATGCAACTCATCCCTTTCGTCTTGAGCGTACTTGAACCACTGACAAATGTACAGTATATAAGAAGAAATACATGAACTTGGATAGACAGATCAGTTAACCCTGCTTCAGCTCTCAAACATTCGCTGTGTGTCACATTCCCTAAGCAGTAACCTTGCCCAGATAGCTAGATATATCTGGCATATTTCTTGGTATTTGAACACTTAAAGCTGACTATTATTGGACAACAGGGGCGGACTGGGACAATAATTCAGACCAGGAATTCCATTAATTTACTACTACACTTTTAATGAGCATGCTGCACATTTAACACAGTAGTAGTAGACCCAGGGCAGCATTTTTTCATGACACATGGGGGGCGGCACGAGCACTTAAAAAAAAAAATCCTCTGCGCCACGAAGCGGTTTTCTATTGTCTATCTGTTCTATCATATCACTGTGTGGGGAATTTGCAAATTGGCGCCTCCTACAGCTGCAAGCGCCCCTGCTTGCTGAGCAGGTGCCTTGCACAGAAGCTGTGTGAGGGGGGGACAGTTCACCTCTCGGTCTCCCTAATGGAACGGACAAGGGGGGGAACGGGGATCCACTGTAAGTCAGTCACACCTCAACTTTCTTCCAGATTACGCACATTTCCTTCATAATATAATAAATACAGGCCTATAGTTCATGTACATTTTTGTTTTTCTGAATTGTGTGAAATGGCTAACAAAAATAGGTAATACAAAACGATTATGTGGTCACCAAGGTGATTTTGTGCTATTTAGAATATTTTTTCTATATATTATATATTATTTTTAATATTATATATTGTTGTTGCTTTCTGCTCTTGTTACTTTTTTATATATATGATTGTATATATTTTGGCACATTTATGTATATAGTGTGTATTTATGGATGTTCTTGTGGTTCTCTAAGTTCTGATAACTTATACTGTCATATTTTGTGCAGAACTGTGTTCATTGTCTTTTGGCAATGCTGGAGGTGGGGATTGTGAACCTTAAAAGTGTGTTTCCTGTTCCAAGTGCAGTAGTTAAATCAAATTGTTCTGATGAAAGATTTGTGCCACTGATAAATATAATTATCTGCTTCACTTATGTTGTTATAATAAAACATAACAGTTTGTGCAGGATTTTGTGTTTTGGCGGGGGGGGGGACAGATGAACAGATCTCTTTACTGTCTGCATGCTGCTGGAAACACGTGCGAGGGAAATACACTCTCAGCTGAATGACTGTATGATCACATGAAGAAAACACACACAAACACACACACACCTACACACACACACACACACACACACACACACACACACACACACAGTAGAAACAACATAAAACAGTCTCCAGTTGAAATAAAGTTCAATAATACAGTTACAGGCACATTCAGGAAGGATATTTGAATCAGGAAATGATAAACGCTCCTCATGAGGAACTGTACTGTGAACAATGGTTTTACATTGACGCGCTATTAATTGATTAATTAATTAATTAATTAGTCGTTCTTACCGTTTCCATCACATAAAGTTATCCCGGTCAGAAACAAAAGAAAAGGGAACCGTAAAAAAGCCATCATTCTTCTTCAGTTTTTACTTTCAGTTTCTTGTGTGGGCGGAGAGAGAGAGAGAGAGAGAGAGAGAGAGAGAGAGAGAGAGAGACACCTCCCCCTGTTTTGCATAACCAGTAAGTTAATAGTTTCTGTAAGCAGTCAGTTGAGTAGCAATAAAAGTAGCACCCATTAATCCTGTTCTGAGTTATGTTTAAATGCAGTTTAAAGAACAACTTTATATTGTAACAAGTTAGAAATCATTCAGTGTGTTACTACAGAGGTAGGTCTGCAGAGTGTGGTTGCAGACCAAAGTCCCCTCCTTAAAAGCATCTCAAGGCTGACACGATCTTAGTCCATGACCTAAAATGTGACTAAGATCTATTTTAGCCTGAAGATGATTTTTGGGACTAATGCACATGATTGAGTGTGACACACTAATTGATTAACTAAGGTCTCGTCAGTGATGGAAGACTACTCAGAACTTGATTTGACTTAAGTCGAAGTAGTGATATATTACATATTCACTACCACTCAAAATTCACAAATATATTATTATTATTATTATTATTATTATTATTATTATTATTATTATTATTATCATTATAAAACACAAATGTAAATCAAAATGTAACTTATTTGTTCTTTGGCTCTTTCTGCTTGGTAGTACAATTAAAATGAATACATGACCATGCATGGTAAAAGATGAATTAATTCATAAATATCAGAAATGTACAAAAAGTATCTAATGAATGACTTACGACAACAAATAAGGTATTTAAATTATTTATTCATTATGTATTTGAAAAAACTACAAATGAAAATTAGATAATCATTTTGGACTCCATTTCAAGGATCAATTATTTAATGAGGAAAAGAACATCTGTTTAAATTAATAAATTAATGGTTAATACTAGTGTTAAAGATGGACCAGGTGACCACTTTATTTGAAAGGCCACAAACATAAAACATACAACATGACAAAGCCATATAATGGTAAATGGTAAATGGACCTGTACTTGTGTAGTGCCTTTCTAGTCTTCCGACCACTCAAAGCGTTTTTACACTATGTGCCACATTCACCCTTTCACACACATTCACTCAGTGATGGCAAAGTCCATCGAACAGAAACTAACATTCATACACATTCACACACCGATGCACGGCATCGGGAGCTATTTGGGGATCAGTATCTTGCTCAAGGATATTTCGACATGTGACAGGAGGAGCCGGGGATCGAACCAACAACCTTCCGATTAGGGGACGACCCGCTCTGCCTAGTTTTGTAAGCCATATAATGGCTTGTAAAATAGTTTTGGTCCTCCTAAATCCTTGCATCAGTTTATCATTTATCTGTTGAGGAGACAGAGAGGGAAAGTGAGAAAGTGAGACTCTCTACTGTGTCTGACTGTAATATGATCATATTAAACAGCAACTGCAGCAACCAATCAATAACTGATATCCGATAAAGGGGCGTGTCGGTCGGTAAAAGACTTCAGTGGAAGCTGCTCTGTATCCTCCTGCAGAAAGGCGCGCTCTGGGACGGTCTCCAACATGGTGGACCACAACAACTTCCGGCTCAGATGTCAAATAAGAGACTTGGGATACACCCTGTATGGACCTAATGGACCTTAGAGATGGGATTTATGGGAGCTGTTCAAAAGACTGGCTCATTTTTATATTTATTTATTTTTAAGAAGCTAGCCTTGGGGTAACCCATTTTATCTTAGTTGGTCCTCTTCTTCCCTCCACCACTTTCACTGTCAGGTGTTGAGTTTTTAAATGGCTTGTTGACCCAGAATTATAATTTTGACAGATGTTACACTTTGCTTTGGCGTTTTTTTCGCATCCAAATGCTGCTGCGCTTTCTTTGGCTCATTGTAGCTGCAGTACTGACACTCCGCACTCACGTGAAGGCAGTGTGCCACTGTGTCGGACAACTCAGATGACATCATGAGAAAATTGTCACGTGTGTTTGTTGACATTAGAACAGCTGTAGCGAGAACGGGAGCCGGGAGGAGTGGCGGCAGCCCGCTACACAGTGGAAACTGGCACCGCGTTCAGCGGTAGATTAGTAATCCACGGTAGTACTGTTGTGTAGGAACCGTGACGTTTTGGCACCGCGAGTACCATGCAACACTAAATGTTTCAATCACAGCCCTACGTTGAATACGCCTCCCTGTAATTCACTCACTCATTAGGCTACTCTGCTCAGGCCGTGACTAGCAGAGACAACCATGTTGCTGCTAATCAGTGTGCTTGCAGCAGCAGGGCATTATAATTCATTACTTGTGTTGTTGTTGTTGTTGTTGTTGTGAATTTATGGCAGGCTGTAGCCAACGATATATAGCGCAATTCATTACTTATGGGAAACGTTTCAAGAGCAACAGGCTTCTCCAAGCAGCACAGCACAGGGAGAAGTGGGTGTAAGACGTAGCCAGGTCAAACCAACCAATAGAAACTCTTCTCTTGTCCACCAGCGTAGGCCCCGCCCATCAAGTGCAGTTGAATTCGCAAGCAAAACTTTATAACTTGCAAGCAAAGAGGACTGATTTATAAGCAAAATGGTCGTATGTTTTTACTTACAAACATTAGTTTTGATTGAAGTTGAAGAAATATGTTCTCTCATATTTGTTTTTCAATTGCAACCTGTTCTGTTTCAATCTCAAAACAGAATTCTCTCCATAAGGCAAGTAAAATATGATTCATATTTTCTGTGAAATGTGCCAATTTCACAATTTATCTAAATGTAATAACTTTATTACTTTAATATTGGACATCATGCCCCCCCCTCCCTCTTTCCAGTTCCTGTGTGTGTGCCACAGGTCAACCAGTCTCCACCCTGCATACCACCAGTTTAAGACCCCATCTTCCCGGACTCCTTTCTCTTTTTGAGGGAGATGCACAGACAGGGCAGGTTGACAGTGACAGCAGTGTTGGTGCTGTGCTGTTGTGTCGTTGTCCTCCTCTCCATTATTAAATGGCCAAAAAAAACAATACTTTAAAAAAGAAAACTTTTTTTTAGTGTGGGCATGTTTCCGTTCAATTTTAAATATTTTTCGGTAAAATGTTCTTGTGGGCTAATTTCTCAGGAAAGATGTGCAAAATGTGGGCCTTGAAGTTGTAACTATGATGTGGCGTGTGAGTATGGTATGGGGCCACCAGGAGGTTAACTAGACCAAGCAGCCTTTTGGTTTCCGCTAAGTAGGCTACTGCATAGAATAATGGGACTGGGAGGATGGTGTAGGTTTAAGTTTATTAGACAAGTACATATACACCAACAAGACAGTGTACAAGCATTTTCACAAGAAAGTTTGTTTCATTCATAGGCTTCATTGTCTTTCCATCAATACCTGGTGGGCCGGTCTCGGCTCAAAATGCCCGGGCCGATTTTTTGTCCCAGTACAGCCCTGAGCACAACCCAGCCACTCTAACACAGCAAGCCCTGAGCCAACTCTAACCCTAATCCCCACCTTAGCTCCGCTGTAAACTACACACCTTGAAAACAGTAAAAAGTAAAAACTGTAATCAATAAAACACTCAATGGTAACAGCACCCATAATAAAACAAGGAAACTCTATCTCCTCAGTTTGCAGAGAGGAAACACTGGAGGACGGATTAGAAAGAGATAAAAACTCAAAATAAGAAAATTATTTAGCAAGTAATAAAATAGATGGAAATGTATGAACAGGTAATAATATGAAATAAATTCAATTCAATTATATCTCCATTATGAACAGATTTTTCATTGCCCTGCTTCACCACCACCAGAAGCTGCAACCTCATTACCATTCCTCCTTAGTGGAATCGTCTCCTCCTGATTTCCTTGGTTTGGTTGATTTTGTAGATTCTGGATACACCTTTTATCTGGAATTAAAGAGAATTTTCTTTCATGTCATGATGATACAAACAACCCCAGCAGTGTAGTGCTAGTCTGTAAACAATGTCTAAAAGTTCAGATACTGCACTCTGACTCTTTAAAGAATTGGGATGTTCAGAGAAACTGCAGTGTGTGTTCACTCAGCTTTCTTATCCACTTGAACCAGTTTGTTTGATAAAAAGTTAAAGTTAGAAAAGTTAAGAGTTTGATTATTATTTACAGTCCATAGCTTATAGGAATTTGTCTGACAGTATAGTAAGCAATAATAATCTGCAATTTAATGTGTGATTTAAGGAGTTTAAGCATCAAATCAAATCAAATTAATTCATGAAATTCTGCTAAAATAAAGATATTAACAGGAGATTAACGACAGCCAAATTGTGTTTATCCATTTCAGGTCACAAGGTTTCTGTTTGCTATTTGAGTGCATTCCTTTTCACCAGTTGATGATATATTTATATTTAAAATAAGAATTACAATATAGAATGAACTAAGATCACTCACATTTTCTGTAGAGGTACACTATGAGAGGTATGATGATGGAAAGAAATAAGAAAGCTAATCCAACAGCCAAAGAAGTGTAGCTCTTCGGTTCCTCATCTGTAAATTATTGGAAATAACAGAGTAAGAACGTATTTAACATGCTGCACTGATATTTGATCACATTTTAAACACATTAATGTACTGTGTGTTTGGTATGTAGTGCCACAAGAATACTGAATTCTTTCAGCTCCACAAATCTTCAGTCACTGATTTATTAGATAAATCAATCAACTGGAACACAATACAATTCTTTTAAAGTAAGTTTTGTCATAAATGATTAATAATGAATTGTGTTTGTGTTGTGCTTTGAGGCCTCATTAACTTATATTAATGATCTGCTGCTCTCACCAGAAGCACTGATCTCTGCAGTTCCTTTAATCCTCTGGTTGGTGCGAGGGTTGAAGATGATGCAGGTTACAGACTGGAACTCCTTCACACTGACAGAGCTTGTGACTGAGAAGGTTTTCTCTGTTGGATCCTGCTGCAGGGACGTCTCAGCATCCTGCAGGTCCAGCTGTGCAGTGCTGGATTTCTTTCGACCCGTCCATGACACTTTAGGTTCAGGGTATCCTCCATGTGCTGTGCAGGTTGCTCTGTTAGCTGTGTTGTTAACAGTCAGGACTAGATGTTGGTGGGGAGCTGTGAGAGTGACAGAAAGAACAACTGTTGACACACTGGAGACATTCACATTTGGTTTGGAATAAAGAATCTACTGTACTCACCTGAAACCTGCACGGTGAATTTGCAACGTTGTTCAGACGGTTTGGGGACGTTTTTCTCGTCCATTAAACGTACATAGGCCCAGAATGTTTTGTTGTCATCTCCAACAGTAACATTGTCAAGTCTAATGGAAATATTTCCAGAACTAAACTCAGTAGGGAAGACTTGACATCTTTTTTTGTATTTGTCAGCTATTGGCATTGTTTGCCCACTGAGGTCCCAGTGAAACAAAATGTTGCCGAACTGGTCCTGCCAGAAAAACCATCTGAGTATCAGTGGAGGAACTGGTAGAGAGCAGGGGATCAGGACGGAGCCTCCAACAGTGGCACTGATTATGGGTGCTAGAAAAGGAAAAGGAAATGAGGAGAAATGGAGCGATGAGAAAAGGCCAAAGACAGTGATAGAGACAATTATGTGGCTGTGAACCAGAATGTGTAACAGTTCACCAGTGTTACACCAAGTTGCAGGTTTACTCTCAGAGGCTAGATTTCATGAGAAACAACACATCTCTTTTCTCAAGACAGATATCATGTAGTATCAGTGCTGGGAATTACTTTTTTTTATCCATCTGAGAAACTGACACCTGAGAAAGTGAAGGTGTGTGTGTGAATATCCAAATCCAAACCCTTGGTATTTGATATTAAAGACTTAGAGCTGACTATTATTGGACAAAGTATTACTGTCATCATGATTCCTACCTTTCTCATGTCCTAAATGAATAAGTGTGATAATGCAGTAAGCCTAATATATTCCTGTTTTCCTTTAGTAATGTGCCTATAATAGTATTTTATTTAGACAATATGTGCATTACACACACATTTAAGTATTTCTGTTGTATTCCTTGTTATTTAAATCAAATATTGACAGGTCCAATAATTTGTGTATCTCTGTTGAATATTGGTAAAATGTGTATAATTTTTTCCTGTTGTCGTGAATAAACAGCATGAGCTGTCCAAATCATTATTGCAATGTGCAGGCATTAATCCTCTCTCCATGCTCTGCACTTGGGGTCAGTATGATCAGTTTTTAAACAATAAACAATAATACATCTCAAACTCTTTCCTTAAACTATACTTGCAAATTGCACATGTACAGTTTAGTTTTAGTTACATGCTGCTTAAAATATTCTGCATACCATTCTTACTGCATACTGAATATAGCGTATATATTTTTCATTATAGTCTTATATTTTCTGTTATATCTTTATAATATTTTTATTTTCTGATTCTTTATTCTACTTTTAAACTTCTGTACTTTTTACACTACATTCCCCTATCCTGCTGTGTCTGACCTGAAATTATCCTACATGGGATCAATAAAGGAAGATCTTAGTTAATCTTATCTTATCATCAGGTCAAAATATTAATTTGTTTAAACACTAATGTAACTCAACTCAGCTGTAGCTTGTGTTTAGTGCCAATTAGAAAATGTTGGCATGCTAACAAGCTAAACTAAGATGTGTTTGGGTCTGAGAGCTGCTAGTGTGGCTGTAGACTTACTGAGTTTTACTGAATTAACTTACCAGTGACAGTGAGCTGACATCTACCAGAGCCACCACCATCATTTGTTCTCAGGTTACACACATACAGGCCAGAGTCTTCAGTCCTGAGTTTGGACACATGGAGTCTGATTTTTCCTTCTGTGAGGACGTCTTTGTCACACTGGACTCGTCCTGCAAACTGTTCATGCTGAGACTCTGGGACCTCAACACCTTCATGTAGATCATACAGGACTGAAACCTTTTGATCAGCAATCAGTTCACAGAAGATATTAAGGGAGTTGTTGGAACTGTCGTTGTTGGTTTTGAACGTCCATTCCAGTGTGATGTTATTGTTCTCCTCTGCCTGATAGGAGGTCTGTGCCACATTCACTACAAATGTTCCTGTTGAGGAGACAGAGAGGGAAAGTGAGGACCAGACAAACTTTAACATGTCGAGGTGTTTCTGTAGAGAGTTCAGTGATGTTTGTCAAATGCAGGCAGGAATTGAATTATTCATTTAACTGATTCATTGAATAACAGTTCACTCTTATTCATGGAAACCAAAAGAGTACAAAGATACTACAGTATAACAAAGGTAATAATAATAAATACAATCCAAGCAATAACTGGAGATAAATGATCTTCCTGATTTCAATATGTGCAGATATTATTACAGACAGATTTAAAGATAAAAGTCTGAGTGTGTACTTTCTACTTTTCTCTGTACGGATAATAAAGTGAAGGTATAAACTAACCACAGATACATGGTCTCAAAACTGAGACCTGTGTTCTCCACATGGTCGATGCACATTTTGACAAAGTTGGGCACCGATGTGTTCTCCCGCTGGCACAGACTGGTCAGACTGCAGCCAAACACCTGATCTGTGATATAGCCCCTGTCTCGGACTGTATGATACATGAGCAACAGGACGCGTATTGGACTCAGTGAATGGCAAACAGGTGGGATTAAAGCTCCAAAGCTCAGGATTGGTAGGCACAGAACAGTGTGCGTTTTTAACTGATCGACATTTGAGCAGAAGGGAACGGAAGAGAGAGAGAGAGACAAGCGGTAGAGAGACGCGAGCTGAGACCGCAAGTACTTGGTTCAACACCCGCGATGAGATAAGGAAAAGACCAAAACCAACCTGAGTCTGTGTGTGAGAGTCTCCCCGGTTGTGAACCCTGCGACTGATGGAGCTCTCTTCTCCTCCGAGAAGGCAGGACGCCAAAGTATTTTATAACCGCTTCTTTTTATTTATTTGAATGGCTGTGTTTGATATGGTGATTTACATTGTTCAAAATAAAAAGTTTAAATTCCTCAATTATCCTTCTTATTCTTTATAATTAATTAAAGAAAAGACACACACAAGGAAAGAAACACCATAAAACAATAAAGTCCATAATACCGTTACAGTCACATTCAGGAAGGACATCTGAATCAGGAAACGATAAACGCTCCTCATGAGGAACTGTACTGTGAACAATGGTTTTACATTGACACTGCGGCTTTAATAATGAATTAATAATTAACAATCAGCCGTTCTTACCTTGTTCATCACAAAGAGTTGTTGCAGTCAAACACAGAAGACAAAGACAGAGTAAGATAAACATCATGGTCGACTCGTCAGAAGCATTTCTGCTTTCACTTTGTTGTGTGAGCGGAGACGATGACTTTTATACAGGTGGCTGGGTGGGACAGGTTCCAACAACAAGAGAGAGAGAGAGAGAGAGAGAGAGCACACACAGAGTAAGGAGAGTTATACATATAGTTATATATAGTTATTAGAGGACAAATGAGACCCTGGCGCTGTTGGAGGCATTCCAGACTTTTTTCTTTTTGTATCCGAGTAATGTCCATGTAATGTTCATCAGTTCTATTTCTAATAGCCCTATATAAAAATCTATCTCTCGTTCATCAGAACAATATATGATCAATATTTTGGGGTGGTTTTTAGAATCTTGTAATCTTTGAAATGTGCCCATTTCACAATGTATCTAAATGTAATATCTTTAATTGAATGTTTATTGTGCATTGTAATTAACATTAAAATTGAATCCAGTTATTTGTTGATTTTGAAATTGGACATCATGCCCCCTCCCTCTTTCCAGTTCCTGTGTGTGTGCCACAGGTCAACCAGTCTCCACCCTGCATACCACCAGTTTAAGACCCCATCTTCCCGGACTCCTTTCTCTTTTTGAGGAAGATGCACAGACAGGGCAGGTTGACAGTGACAGCAGTGTTGGTGCTGTGCTGTTGTGTCGTTGTCCTCCACTCCATTACTGTTAAATTTAAAATTGACTGACTGTCATGTAATACACTAAAACTTGTGGTTCCCACTGTATTGCTACTAAACTGTATTGATAAATTATTATAACTTAATGAAACACCACAAGTGTCAGACTGACAAATTTAATGTATTTGTAACTGTAAAAATGAAGAGCATTAATGAGCAGTATGCAGGAACAGGGTGTGCTGATGGAGCTGGGAAGAGAGAAAAATAAAGAAATTGAAAGATTCCGCTTCATATCAAGTTGCAGCTCTGACAGTTTTCAAGTGCAGAAAGATGATCTTGTATGACGTGTCAACCTCATTAACTGTTTCTGGCCTGTAAATCCGTTACTGAGGGACTTGTGCAGAGTACAGGGAGTTTCTCATACAGGTGTGAAAATGTTTCTTGCTGTAAATGCTTTAGTGTGATTGTTGAGTGATGATTTTTTTAGTTTGGCCCATCTGCTAACATTGGCTGTATTAGCTATACTGCAGTCAGCCACCAGAGGGTGACGCAAAATTCTGCTGTAATAAACATTTCAAACGTGAGTTGGCTGACTGAACTCTAGGATGGATTGAAATTGAGTCCACATACTGTATCCATGGAGCCCAGAGGATGAATCAGAATGACTTTGGTGTTCCAGTTTCACCAGCAGCTCAACGTTTTCACTGATCCAGGGAAATCTCTCAACATCTACTGAATGGGTTACTCAGTGCAGACATTCATGGTATCCTCATACCTGCAGGATTTGTTGTGCTCAAGTTTACAACCTCACAGAGCTGCTAGCATGGCTGTTAGACATGTAACCATGTACGTTAGTGAGAACAGTGTTATGTTACTAGTAGAAGTGATGGTGCTTAGTAAAATACATCAATCACAACAAAGTATGTTTTTCATACAAAAGCTTTTTATTACAAAAACTAATAAATGTAAGAAATGAAACACTCAATGATAACAGAATTCACAAAAAACACAAACTGAGGAAACATTCATTTGCATTGAGGAAACACTGTAGGCAGGATTAGCAAGTAATAAAACATTAAAATGTGTAAATAAACAGACAAATAAATAAATAAAAATCTTGAGTAGGTCTTGAGTTTAAACAAAGACTTATCTGATAGATTTTCTGTCAGTTAATGTTCATTATCAGTAATGTATCTGTGAGTTAGCAATACAACCAGTGAAATGTGTTATAATGTTACATTATAACAGATAAGACATGAGGCTGATAAGAAGCTTTAAGTGTCAGTGACAGTGAGGGGGAAGCTGTGGTCTCTGCCCTGCAAACTGAGATGAGACCAGTAGTGTGAGAATAGGGAAGAGAGATGTAACTATTCCTGCAGAGCAGATTTGTGAGGTTAAGTGGCCATGGGCGAGACAATGCTCTTTCAACCCAACCTAGTCAGTAACTGTTCTGAGGGGTTAGAGCTGTTTCCAGCTTTAGTAGGATGAACAAAAGAGAGACACAGAGTGAGAGACATGTATGAAGAGTCTGATGTGTTTGCTGAAGACCATTCTGACATTGGACTGGTGTTTCATCCTTTTTACAGCTGCAAATTTTGGAATGCAACCAAACGTCCGACAACTCACTTCCTAAGCCTTTGTACAAAGAGGTGAAGGAATATCTCCAAATCCTGCTCGACCACAGCTTGATCAGAAAGTCCAGCTCACCCTACTCGTCTCCTGTGGTCTGCATCAGGAAAAAGACCAAAGTTTACGCCTGTGTGTGTTTACTTTCGCAGCTTAAACCGCCAAACCGTCGCTGACCTAAAAAACAACCCCGACACACAAAGTGATAACTGTAATCAATAAAACACTCAATGATTACACCACCCACAATGAAACAAAGAATCACTATCTCAGTGCAGGGAGGAAACAGCAGGGGCAGAATTAGAAAGATATAAAAAATTAAATAATAATAATGATTTAGCAAAGAGTAAAACATCAGCGGTTTTTTCCACATTCTGCATCATCACCACCAGAAGCTGCATCCTCATCAGTCGCGCTTTCAGCACCATTCCTCCTCCTTAGTGGACTATTTTCCTCAGGTTGGTTTTGTCCTGACACGTTGAGCTGAGCATCAGGAACATTTCCTTCAGCTTCATTTGCATTTGGTGGGTTTTCTGTATTCCAGTTACCCCTTTTATCTGTAATTAAGGAGACATTATTCATGTCATGCTGATACAAACAACCCCAGCAGTGTAGTGCTAGTCTGTAAACAATGTCTAAAAGTTCAGATACTGCACTCTGAATCTGTAAAGAATTGGGATGTTCAGAGAAACTGCAGTGTTTCTTTTTATTTACAGTCCATAGCTTATAGGAATCAATCAAAGGAAATCAATTACTGAAAGATCACTATCTTTATCAGGAATTTAGCTGTTTTTCCTCCATGGTGAATTAATGTATCTGAATAAAAGAAATGATAGTTAATCAAAAAGGACATTTTTCATTTAAAGATTACAACTAGGGAACAATCAATAACTAAACTTGACTTTAGGTTTAGCTAAGGTTAACTGCTGCTGTCTCACATGCTTGGTGTAGCCCTCTTTAGCTGTCTTAGCTGTCTTTCTACAGAGAATAACCTACATAAAGTGTGGAGTCCTACAGCACACAGGTTACTGAGCCAGAATGCAGTAATACACAGCCAGTGCACTAACTTTGTTTTTGGCTTTTAGCTCTGTTTTCTCGTTACTGTTATGCTTTGCAATGATTTAATGTTTTAGTTTAACAGATATTCAGATGCAGGTTCTAACTCAGTTTAACCAAATATGTAGTTTCTGTGTTTGGCCCTTGTAGGACAGTGCTGTAAATCACTCCTTCAACTTATTATTAGTTACAACTGGAGGTAAACTGACACTATGGATTACAGTATCCTTCTGGAAATCTACAGTTTCATACTTTATGGTTTCATAGTTGTGTTTATCCATTTCAGGTCACAAGGTTTCTGTTTGCTATTTGAGTGCATTCCTTTTCACCAGTTGATGATATATTTATATTTAAAATAAGAATTACAATATAGAATGAACTAAGATCACTCACATATTCTGTCCCAGTACACTATGAGAAGTATGATGATGATGATGATGATGAAGATGGAAAGAGGTAGGCCAACACCTAATCCAACAGCCAAAGAAGTGTAGCTCTTCGGTTCCTCAGCTGTAAATTATGTGAAATAACAGAGTAAGAACGTATTTAACATGCTGCACTGACATTTGATCACATTTTAAACACATTAATGTACTGCAATTTATATTGTTTCAATTAAATATAATAACCACATTGTGCTTTGAGGCATCATTAACTTATATTAATGATCTGCTGCATAAATAATGCAATTTATATTGTTTCAATTTAATATAATAATAATAATAAATATATAATATAATAATATATTCATAATAATATATTTATGTTATTATATAATCCAAAAAAAACATTTTTGAGGCCTCATTAACTTATATTAATGATCTGCTGCTCTCACCAGAAGCACTGATCTCTGCAGTTCCTTTAATCCTCTGGTTGGTGCGAGGGTTGAAGATGATGCAGGTTACAGACTGGAACTCCTTCACACTGACAGAGCTTGTGACTGAGAAGGTTTTCTCTGTTGGATCCTGCTGCAGGGACGTCTCAGCATCCTGCAGGTCCAGCTGTGCAGTGCTGGATTTCTTTAGACCCGTCCATGACACTTTAGGTTCAGGGTATCCTCCATGTGCTGTGCAGGTTGCTCTGTTAGCTGTGTTGTTAACAGTCAGGACTAGATGTTGGTAGGGAGCTGTGAGAGTGACAGAAAGAACAACTGTTGACACACTGGAGACATTCACAGCACTTTGATATGAGGAGATTTTTATTTTGGTTTGGAATAAAGAAGCTACTGTACTCACCTGAAACCTGCAGTGTTGATTTGCAACGTCGTTCAGACAGTTTGATGACTTTTTTGTCGTCCGTTAAACGTATATAGGCCCAGAATATTTTGTTGTCATCTCCAACAGCAACATTGTCAAGTCTAATGGAAATATTTCCAGAACTAAACTCAGTACTGAAGACTTGACATCTGTTCTTGTATTCATCAGCTATTGGTCGTGTTTGCCCATTGGGGTCCCAGTGAAACAAGATGTTGTAGGACTGGTCCTCCTCCCAGAAAAACCATCTGAGTATCAGTTGAGGAACTGGTAGAGAGCAGGGGATCAGGACGGAGCCCCCAACAGTGGCACTGATTATGGGTGCTATAAAAGGAAAAAGAAAAGAGGAGAAATGGTGGATGGATCAGAAAAGGCCAAAGGCAGTGATAGAAACAATTATGTGGCTGTGAACCAGAATGTGTAATAGTTCACCAGTATCACACCAAGTTACACTGTTGCAGGTTTACTCTCAGAGGCTGGATTTCATGAGAAACAACACATCTCTTTTCTCACGACAGATGT